CCCGTAGTGCTCTATTGGTTAGTTACTTTAGTTACGAGGTACCGTCAGCGCCGTCGTGGAGAAGAACTCGTCGAGGAGATTCCGTACGCGCATCAAGCCATGATATACTGGGCGGGTTTACGAGGTGCTGTGGGTGTTGCCCTTGCGGCAGGTCTCACAGGCAACAACGGCGACACTCTCCGTGCCACTGTTCTGGTCGTAGTCGTCTTGACTGTGATCATCTTTGGAGGTACTACGGCTCGTATGCTAGAGATACTTGGTATACGTACCGGCGTGGTGGAGGAAATTGATAGCGACGACGAGTTCGACATCGAAGTTGTCAACGGCGGCACCTACACGCGCAACAAAGGCCAAGGCTTTGGACATACGCCACGCCCCAGTTCTAATGGATTCAGTTTGAACGATGTCAATGGATCAAACTCCACATACTCTAGCGGCGCATTCAACCGACATCGAGGCAGTCCACCAACACGTCCAGAAGGCCTCGCTACGCGCCGTAATTCAAGTCGTTTACGTCAGGCCGACGGCGCAGATCAGAATCTTCTTAGCCCTGCAGACAGTGGCTCCGCTGATGATGATGATGATGATGACATCGATCTGGACCTCCCACCCAATGCGCGTCGATCACCAAACCGTGTTCCATCACCGCACAACGCATCAACAGACCCATCTCCATATCCAACATCAGGCAACAGGCCATCGGGCTTTGCAGAGGGCTCAAGTAGGGTCGCAAGTGCAACGGGGGCGGTGAAGCAGCTGCTCACGGACATCAGTCACGACCCTGCAAGTGCCTTCAAGCAAATTGATGATGGCTTCTTGAAACCACATCTGTTGCTTGACCCTGGAACCGGGCCAGGACCCAGCAATGTCTGATTAGTGGTGGAATCCATGTTGAGGTATGAGCATTGAAGGCGTTTCGGATGGTTTTGAGAACTCACATGATAGGCTTTGGATGGCATGAGGATGACGGGACGGTTCAGAGAGAGCTTGGCTGCTGGTGTTGGTGAGGGATGAGCAACGACGGATCATGCTCACGTTGTAGGATTAGGACAGTGACGGAGATACAGCCTTCGAGCGCTCCGGCGGTCACAGGGAACCGTCGGGTGCAGAAGCCTGGCGCCCGTGTACGGGTGACGCTGTTGCAGGGTTGGAGTTGCAGTCCGTCTAATAGGTGAGGGGGAGAGGGGTTCACCGAAGATGCGCCGCACTTTTCGTGTGACCTTCATATGGCCGTCATTTACGTGCGGCTGTTGCTCGACCATGGTAGCACCAGGGTCCTGATAAACCATATAGCTTCCATTGCCAAGAACCAAGTCGATTCGCATTTGCTGCATCATTCAAGTTGCTGTCAATATCGAAAAATAGGCTAGCAAGTTAGTACTGTA